CAGCCGCCCGAGCTGGCCATGATGCACTGCTCCTACTGGGACCACGAGAGCAAGCACAGCGCCTTGCACTCCCGGATTGACATCTGAGGGGAGCCGCGAGCGCCCGCCCGCCCGCGGAACCGAACCCCCGCCAACTGGCGCTGGAGAGAAAGAGAGAGCGAGAGCAAGAGACAGGGCAATGGGGGGGACTGTCCCTTGACGCACATCTCCTCCACCTTCGTCCCTTCCAAGCGTGTGATCTCTGACATACTGGTCTTGGATTTTCTTTTTCCGTAACTCTCTTGTCCACCCACCCCCTGATGCATACGGTAACATTCAGTGCCAAATGAGAAAACCGTGCCCCCCCGGGCAAATGTCTATGTATCTCAAATTATAAAGCTCTGTTCCTGATGTACGTGAAGGCAGCGTAAGTGCAGAGAATTTACATCTTCATCTTGCTCCTTTCACAAGCTTCGTTTGCTTTGTTCCGCTTGTCATTGCTTTGTAGAGTTAGCAGCCAGAGTTGTGGCAAATGATGAGCCCATGGTGAAATATTTAAGTTGGCCAGTTTGCTTCTTTTTTTCCCCCTTCTTTCCTTCTTTCTTTGCGGGGGGCGGTTTTAACGTGTTAAGGGAGGACCCACTCTGGTCACGATCCTGAATGTATTTCCTTGGTATGCGTTACTTTGTAGAAAATAATGAGATATATTTGATCGTAATCAGCTTGAGAATCAAATATTAGTCCCATTATTTTCTAAGGAAATAGCTTGTTCACTCTTACCAAACAAGGTTCGGGAGCAAATAAAAATAAGAGGAAAAACTTAAATAGAAGAGACACAGAAAGGTAAACTTTGCAAAAGTCTACGAAATTATATTTTTATTGATGCACAGGAAAGCGTGGCGTGTCACTAGCCTTACCTAGGTACTGTATGTACTGCCTAGAAAAATCCAGACATGGTAACTTTGTAATAGATCCCATTGCGAGAAAAAAAGGGAGGGGGTTGATTCAAGCAACAAGATGGGGAGACGGCTGCACATCCTATTGAAATGAACTGGTGAAACCACATGGTTTAATATATATGACCCGTTGATTTCAATAGAATTAAGAAGCTACGGGTGCAACCGAGGATCATCTCCTTGATCTTAATGAGTTAGGATTGGAGTTAATAATTTACAAAGATGTCAGAAACCTAAAGCACGTCAGTTTCTTTGAAATTGCTTTTATGAAAAGTGAACTGGCTCGGGCGCACTTCAGTGAATGGAAAATCAATGGAAAAAGTGGGATTTCACGCTACCTTGTGTGGCTTTATCGGTGACTCCGATAAAGCCACACAAGGACTCTGTCGTTCGCTTCTTGTCATTATTATATTCCAGTCCTACTGGATGTACCTGATGCCAATATTAAGTCTCCTGGTTTGAACAAGATTTAGTTGCTTTTCTGTTTAAGGACGGGACCACTTTAATGGCGATGAAATAAATGTTTTAGGGCCGTGGCCTCAATGTCTGAATTAAAATACGTACTTCAATGTTTAAATTAAAACCCAAAATAGGATTCCTGAACTGACTGCAGTCCCTAAGAAAATTTGATATAGAGGGTGGGGAGAGAGTCTTTCTTTTGAAAATATTGGCCAATGAAGAATTAAGGAACAAGAGAAAAACTTTTAACTCCTTTAACTCTTTCCTAGCCTGTTTTCACTATAAATTGTTTTCACAATCCACTGTGATATCAAGTTTTGGTGGTGGTTCTTATGGGGGAGGAGGGGGAATTGCACTTCTTCAAAGCTTATGCTGCCCTGCAAAATAGTACTTATTTGGAGACTGTATTGAACAAGAGCACCCTTTTCCAGGATGTCTAAGTGATTTAAAACCCGAAGGAAATTTGAGAACAATTGTTAGTATAAATGTATGTACATTTTTTAAAAATAGAATGTGTCCTTCAAGATATAATATTTTTATGCGAAACTAAAATATTTGGACAAACTAAGTCTGTTTCCTGAAATAATAACGGAGACTATTTTTCCAGATATATTAATGTTATTTTATATATATATATATTTCCTAATGGATGTTAAGAGTGATTTTTATATTTTCTTGACCCAGATGAATTTGGCTGTAAACAAATCTTCTATAGGTTATTTTCAGCTACTTCTTTTCTTTAATTTTTCCATTCTGAAGTACCTCAAAGATGTAATTTAGAAAAGTGTGTCTGTAAATTCTGGGGGCCAGGCCTAGCGATTTCCTACATGTTTGTTTATATGGATAGGTATTTTGGTATTGTGTCATTCTGGGACCAATTTTTCTAGAACAACCTAGCACTTTTATTGTATATCATAGCTCTGTGTAGTCGCCAATAAAATGTTTTCTTTCCTCTTTTAATACCGTTTCATTTTTCATTCAGATCCCCACAAATCAAACACTGAAAAAAAATCTTTTTAATGTCGGCATATCTGCTCAGAGAATTCTTTAAAGTGAGACTTTGGTAATTGATGTGTGGATTTAGCAGTATATTGAATGTTTGTATCAATACGGATGGAAGGAGGCTCTGTGATTGTAGTTAGAATCCACCCCCCAAAATCTCTGCCTTTGTGGTAAACTTTCAAAGCAAGGGACGGGTAAGACCGAGAAGATTTATAAATGATCTAAAAAAAAGTTTTTGAGTATTGAGGGTTTTTTTCTTTGTGGTCACCTGGAAAAAAAATGTGGAAATAATTCTTCCCTTTTGGCGGCCCTATTAGGGATTGACTGTGTTGAATTAAAACCGGCTTGATCCTAAGTGTGTTTATTTGCAAGATTAATGGATTTACTCCCAGGTAAGTTCCTCTGAAATCAATGGTGTTTATTTCCAAGAGGATACGTTTATGTTCAGGGTACCTACAGCCTGGTCTTCTCAACTAAAATTATTCGTAGGCAACTCACACTGATTTTGGGGAGGGGGCTTACTCCTAAACATGTTGCATAGCATCGCTATTCAAATCTAACCTTGTTTATTTCGAGGTACTGTATAGCCAGTTGAAAGTAATGGGACATACTTCGGATGGTGCGCGAATACGATCAGATTTCACACATTCTTTGGCCAGTTTGAAAAAAGGTTTTAGAAAGAAAGGTCCAGACAGGGCCTCCATGTACTGTAGTTACTGAGCCGAACTAACGGGCGTTCCTTGCCTTGGGCGATCATTGCTTGTACAATGTTATTGGTCTTTAGCCTCTGGTATTAATGGATGCGCGCCCGCGCAATTTGGGGCCTAAATCGAAGAGACGCCCTGCGACACTTGAAAATTAAATGCATAGGAGCATGAACTGGATTGTTTTTGTTTACAAGAAAACAAAGATTCGTGTAGAATGACAGGTTGCGAATCGAACCTTTCGCGAGGTCACTGAAGGTGTAAATGGCAAATATCAGAGATGGAGGAGGGGAATAGAATATGAGAGTGGAGAAATAGCGGATTTTCCTCTTTTGTTTTGTTTTGAATTTCAAAGATCAAGGCCGCTTGGGGAAAGATCTTCTTTATGTAATCTGTGAGGATAAACAAATACACACACACACACACACACACACAGAGAGAGAGAGAGAGAGAGAGAGAGAGAGAGAGACTGTCGTGCGATTCCTAAGCATACTTGCAGCCCGGTTCTAAAGAAGCAGGCTTTCTCGGATATAAATTCCCGTGAGTTCAGTGAGACTTCCTTCTTTGCGGGTAGGTTGGA